CCCGCCACCTCAGGTGCACGTGGCTGGCGCCTTAGCCAGTTGAGCTATAGGCACCGAGCCGAGACTCAAATTTCTTTCTGGGATTTTTATAGATGAAAAATATTTTCAGCTACCCCAGCAAACTGATATTAAGCAACTAACTGGCAGCCCTACAATATTAGTGGCGTCTCTAGATGCAGCCCCATCAAATTAAGGGATGAGGTATTCGTAGGGCACTACAAGGAGTGGGGAAGAACAAGGCACAGAAGGCAAGAAAACAGCCAAAAGAAGCTAAAGTCAAAGGTGTTAGACTATCAAAAATACTTACCAATTCCTTCTTCAATTTTGTGTATCGTGTGCGTTTCTACTGCTACAACTGCCGTGTTATTCTCTGACCCGGCTTCATAAATCCTGTTGTAAAAGTGTCCATCGATAAACAAACTATATAAATCATGAAAAAATTAATACTCACAGCATGGGGTTAAGAAATTTATTTTAACCTATCTCAAAAGGAATAAAATAAATGCACTTTATAACTTTATGTTCATGCTTTGACTGATTCCCTTATGTTTAAACTCCAAGCTGGCCGTGACTGTTCAGCAGCTCCTACCACAGAAATGGATCAATGCCTTTCTTCTCTTCAAAGAAGAGTAATTCTTGTTATCGTATTTATACCACCACTTGCTACTATATTATATTAGAATTTCCCTTTATAACTTTAAATGCTCATGATATAGTGTTGTTTCAAGTACACAATTAAGTTATATTATAGAATTGTCCTAACAGGACTAAAAAGAAATACCAGCAGACAGTTCAAGATAGAAAGAACCATATTGACCACAAAAGTTAATATCCTTTGAAATCTACATATTTTGGCTTTTTTCCTCTTTTTTAGCGATTTAGACTTTTTTAAGGTACCATAAAACCAAAGACTTTTTTTTTTTTTCGAGACAGAGATTGCCCGGGGTAGAGTGCCATGGCATCATAGCTCACAGCTCACAGTAACCTCAAACTCCTGGGCCCAACAACTCTCCTGCCTCAGCCT